ACTGGGTGCTATACTTTATCCCAAAATCAAACATTTATACTATCAAGCAAAAGACTTAGAGATTATAACCATACATTTGAATGTCCAGTTATACTATTGTATTTTTTAAAATAAAATTGAGAATGGAAATGGGGAATGTGTCAAAGAGACAACAACCCGACCACAGAACAGACAACAGCAGAAGGCCACCAACAGGTCTTCAATGCAGCGAGAAATTCCCGCACCCGGAGGCGCCCTTCAGCTGGCCCCTAAACAAATATATATACTAGTTCAGTGATAATGAACGCCATACTAAACTCCAAATTGTACACAAGAAACTAAAATTAAAAATAACACAAGACTAACAAAGGCTAGAGGCTCCTGACTTGGGACAGGCGCAAAAATGCGGCGGGGTTAAACATGTTTATGAGATCTCAACCCTCCCCCTATACCTCTAGCCAATGTAGAAAAGTAAACGCATAACAATACGCACATTAAAATTCAGTTCAAGAGAAGTCCGAGTCTGATGTCAGAAGATGTAACCAAAGAAAATAAACAAAATGACAATAATACATAAATAACAACAGACTACTAGCAGTTAACTGACATGCCAGCTCCAGACTTCAATTAAACTGATTGAAAGATTATGTCTTCATCATATGAATATCAGGCACAATCCTTCCCGTTAGGGGTTTAGTATCATACCATCATAACATATATGAGAAGAACATAACCCGTGTCATGCCAACAACTGGTTTTTAAATAAATGTGTTTAGTGCCGATGCAAAGACCCTATAAGTGAATCAATATTAACGCCAAAATATGCAATCTTTAATGACCTGACAACAGTATCGTAACTATATCCCTTCTTAATAAGTCTATTTAAAGGTTTTGTTAGTTTCAGAGGTGAATACTGACATTTTTGTGCTTTATAAAGAATATTTCCATAAAAAATTGGATGTGAAATACCTGAACGTATAAGAAGTCTGCATGTTGAGCTATATTTACGAATGATGTCCTTATACCGATGATAAAATTTAGTAAATGTTTTGACTAGTTTGTGATATCGAAAACCCTGGTGTAATAATTTTTCAGTAATACATAAATTTCTCTCGTTAAAATCTAAAACATTGTTACATACACGAGCGAATCGTACAAGTTGAGATATATAAACACCGTAAGATGGTGACAAGGGAACGTCACCATCTAAAAATGGATAATTAACGATAGGAAATGAAAAATCATCTCTTTTATCATATATTTTAGTATTAAGCTTTCCGTTAATGATATAGATATCAAGATCGAGGAAAGGGCAGTGGTCATTGTTAGTATTAGCTTTATTTAAAGTAAGTTCAACAGGATAAATTTCTTTAGTATACATACTGAAGTCGTCATTATTGAGAGCCAAAATATCATCCAAATATCTAAAAGTATTATTAAATTTGTGTATCAGATGTTGTTTCGATGGGTCTTTACTGATTTTTGTCATAAATTGTAACTCATAGCAATACAAAAAAAGGTCCGCAATAAGTGGTGCACAGTTAGTCCCCATTGAAATTCCGATAACCTGACGATATACGGAATCTCCAAAGCGAACAAAAATGTTATCTAGTAAAAATTCAAGGGCATATATAGTATCAAAGCATGTCCAATTCACATAGTTTTTTTGTTTATTGCTACTAAAAAATGACCTAAATGAGTTTGAACATATATATTCACATTCTGACTTTTTAAATGCCCATTTAATTAGGTGTGTGAATTTTTTTAAAAGTTTATTACTGAAAAGGTAAATTGTAACAACTGCAATAGATATAGTTATACACAGATTTACCAAAAGACTATCTTGTTAAATATGAAAATTTGTCGGTGACAATTTAAGATTAAGATTGAATGGTAGTGCAGTATGCAGAGCAGAAAAACATAACTGTCAATGGAGACAACTATCCATCAAAGACTTCCAAAGAGTTTTCACTCTTCAGATATAGTTTAAACTAGCGGCTCTAAAGAGTCTGTGTCGCTAACCTATAGGTCTATGTGCATAATCAACAATGGACTCTCTCCAACATTGTAGACGAGAATAAAGTTCATGACAAACAATTTTTTTTATTGATCTTGTATTGCTGATCATTTTGTCTGTTTAGTTTCTCTCTGTCTTCTTTAGTTTTTGCTCAAAACACAAAAGAGTGTAAAAAATCCTCATTTAAGGGCAATCACTCTTATGAAGAGTGACAGTCTACTAACTATACCGGTAAAATTTGACTTGTTTGTGGATCTTGCCTGACTGATCATTTTTGTTATTTAAAGTTTCTATTCATCTATTATAATTTGTATCATAAAAAGCAAAATGTAAAACAAATGTAAAAATCGTCATTAAAGGGCAATAATTCCAATAAGGAGTCGTCGGAAAATTTCCTCGATATCGTCTTAAATGTAGATCTTGTCTTACTGATCATTTTTGCTTATTTAAGTTTCTATCTATCTATTATAATTTTTAAGATTTAAGGCAAAAACAAACAAAAAAATGGTAAAACTTGTCGTCAAAGGGCAATAACTCTAATTAGGAGTCGACTGACGATTTCAACCAAGCAATACTAATTCGTAGATCTTGTTTTGCTGATCATTTTTGCAACTTAAAGTTTCCTTCCATCTATTACAGTTTTCAAGATAAAAGGCAAAAATGAAAAAAATGGTAAAATTGGTCATTTAAGAGCAATAACTCCTATAAGAAGTCGCCTGACAGTTTTGGCGTCAATGAACAATTGGTAGACCTCAACATTCTGAACATTTTTGCCCTGTCAGAATTTCTCTATTTATAACAGTTTTCAAAATAATAGACAAAACTTGCATTTTACCCCTATGTTTTATTTTTAGCCATGTCGGCCATCTTGATTGGCAGGCGGGGTCATCGGACACTTTTTTAAACTAGATACGCCAATAATGATTGTGGCCGAATCAAATTTGGCCCAGTAGTTTCAGAGGAGAAGATTTTTGTAAAAGTTAACGACGACGACGGACGACGGACGCCAAGTGATGAGAAAAACACACTTGGCCTTTCGGCCAGGTCAGCTAAAAACGGTTTAACATAAGCTTTGTCAAAACGGTTGTAAAGAAGATTACTGAGAAACATGTGAATTGAACTTTTACAGGATTCAGATATAAAACGAAACTTATATAATGTTTCTTGTGTAATTCAGGAATTCAATACAAAGTTGTAACTTGTGGTGTTCAGTAGCATCTTTAAGTTCAGTCGACGATAAAATGTGTTTATCTGCAACCTTATCTTTTGTAAGTACGAAAGTACTCGATTTTTTTATCTCAGTTTTTGTATTTCCTAATAGTACTAACGACAAACAGCCACAACATTGTCGGCTGCTTTGTCAGCGGGCACATATACAAAACGTTGTATAGATTATTTAATTTGTTTTTACGTCTGGATATTAAATTAGAACTATTTTGTATAAAATTACTCTCGATTTTTACAGTCAATAGAACCAGTCCAATGTCAACGTGAACAGAAATAGAGGTATAGTTTAAAATTAGATTTCTACTAAGAAGAAGCCGGATTATCCAGAGAGAACCACCGACCATCATCACGAAAACTTGCAATCCTAGTTAATTAAGGTGGGAGTCTTACGTACCGTGCTACAAGCGTATCGAACTCACAAATTCACTGTTAACAGGATAGTGATAACTGTAAATGAACTACTTAAACCACACTACCACTGACGCCCCAACTAAAATAACATTTATTTCGCATATACAATGATAAAATAGTATTAAAAAAAACTCATAAAAGATATCATTGGACAAATGTGACTAGATTTTAGTGTATTTCAGTGAAAAATTGAAACAATAAAAAAAGAAATAATGTGTGACTGCATCGTTTAGTAATGCCTTTCTTTCCCTTGTGTGTTTAGCATTAAAAAAGAATACAATTTGTGAAAATTTCCTCTTGAAAGCTTTTAAATAAAAAGAAAATGAATAAACACAATTTAATTGTCTGCGTGTTTCAGTATATTCTTCCTTAAATAAATTCAACTAAAAGAATATATGTAAATTGGAATCGCAAGGATCGTGAACTATAAACAAAAGGCAGTTTCTATATCCGTATGCAACAATTCTTCAATATTAATCGCCTTTGTTGTACATAAGTAAGTACACAAATATCAAATACTACTGTAATCACACTACTTGTTATTCACCATTGCCGCTGTCTGTCCTTTGTAACTTTTTCCTACGTTCACTTAAACAGTTAAACATTTCTATTTAAATATGTATGCTTTAAAATGATGTCTGCAATTTTTGGGAAACGAAGCTGTACTATTAAATGACATACATACTATTTGTAAGAAAAAGTTGTGGACTGGTTCCATCGTCGAGGGTATGCACATCAGCCTGATAACGTGCAATCATGGTCCTAAACTTACATGGAGTATCAAATGAAAATATTTTTTCATTTCATATGATATAACTTAATTTCGCATAAATCTATATAGCAGCAAGTACCTCGGTTGCTTACACATTTATTCCTTAAATCATCTTGAAATCATTTCTTCCTTATATTGAAATTTCACAATGTCCTGTTGATGTTTCGCAACTAATGACGCTACCACATATGAAAATTTATCTAAAAACGAGGCGGAAGATACCAAGGGGACATTCAAAACTCATCAGTAGAGATAAACTCACATCACCATGGCAACAAACGAAAGTCGACGAAAAGAGTAACAAGTCCACAAAACACTACATAGAAAACAAAACTAAAGACTGAGCAACACCAACCCCACCAAAAACTGGTCGATCTCAGGTGCTCTGGACAGGTGAATAGATCATGCTCCACTAGTGGCACCCGTCGTGTTGTTCATGATAAGTACACATTCGATGCAATGACAAACTGGTATTTAAAACCTCTTCAAAGATACCAGGCTTTTAAACCTGAGACTTCTATAGCACTCAGTCAAAACTAATACGTCATATGCTCGTTCCGCCTGCATAAGACCCCGAGGACACAAAACAAAAGATTTAACATTTTGCAAGTTTTATTTAAAAAAAATAAAATAACACACTTGGAATGTTGTAACATAGCGAGGCATCTATACTAGCTTTTTATAATGAAGCAATTTACTGGACTAATCTTATCACAATCTTCCATTTTCTTTGATGAGCATTTGTTAAATTATACTTTATTTCTTTAGATAAGCATTATTTACAGACGTAATAATACAAGTTAAGATATTGAGTTATAATGCAACATTGTTTGTAATTTCAGTTTTGAGTGTAAAGACCTTATCAGAATATCGTGTGCACATATAAGGGATCTATAAAGATGTAGCAAATGTAATGTTCCAACTTCTAGAATATCAACATACATAGTAATTAATGCATAATTGAAAGGAGGATATATTTGCAATTTTAAGGTTAAAATATAAAACGAAGGGTTAAACTTCAGTCTGAAGAACTGCATTTCTGAAACTGTAAGAAATGAGACCAAGGAAATTTGGAAATTAACATCATCTATAGGTATACGTATTTGTGAGCAGTTGTGTTATGGTATTTATAAAACCAAAGAGCATGGTAAAATGTGTAAAATATTCTGTCTGAAAACGGAAGTCCTGAAACCTCAGATGCACCGTCCGTCTAACCATTGGCAAAATGTTGTCCACAATGACATAATTGTCGCTGAATACCGTTATATTATTTAATGATGCAATATCGTTGATACTCCGAGAAGCTTAACATCAAATGGTTATACTTCACTTTCACATCATTGACCACTTTATATTATCTTGATGGTATCATTCGGGTTTGCTTCTGAAAATTAAGCAGGAAAACACGGAAACTACTTAAAATGTAAATAAGAAGATGTGGTATGAGTGTCAATGAGACAACTCTCCATCCAGGTCACAATGCAATGTGTAAAAAGAAAACCATTATAGGTCAAAGTACGGCCTTCAACACGGATCCTTGGCTCACACCTATCAACGACCGTAATGTATCAGTTTTTAGACAATTATACGGCAAAATTGTCAATACTTTTTAATTACCATTGACTTCTGAAATACGGAAAACTAAACAAGAAACAAACCAAAGTCATTCAAGCGTGATATGAAGGTTATAGTCAACTTATTACTGGTACCATGAGAAATCAAAGATTTTAAGCATAAAAATGTAGGACACAGTGTCCCAAAATTGGTTTACTATACTGTAATGTTGACGTATCATTTATAAATTCACGAAACTTTTTTTTAAGAAATTGGAAATTATTGACTGAAATCCAGTTTTGAACCAAAGGAAGGGTGAACCCGTAAAGACCCTAACATCATAAAAAAGACAAGCTATTCCATTTTCTTATTCAAGTATCATGTGTTGAAAAGGGTACAGATTATATTTCAAACTAAGTATTCTCAATTTAAAAAGTAATTCGCCTGTTGTATTTACTGCATGAAAAAAAGGATATTCGTGGAATAGAAGAAAGCAAAGAGTGAAGATTTAAAAAAAAAATAGTTTAAATACTTAAAACTTTTTCTAAAATTAAAATAGTTTTTATAATAAAAGCTGAGTTCATTTTGTTTGTGTTCCTCAGCTTTATATCCATTTGGCTTTTGAAAATCTGATTATTAAAGTCTTTTCATTGCATTACAGCCATGCTTATTATTGGTTTCAATCAATTTACAGTGTACATTTTAAATACACAATGTATATAATTACACAAATCATTATTATATTACTATTATCTGTTAATAAAAAAAAAATGAAAAAAATAAATATTGAGATTAAATATACATTTTATGAGATATTTCATATACTCAAATACACAATGAGAGTAAATGCATGCATTTCTTTAAAAAAAAAAATGTGAATATTGTTAATATTAAAAAGCACTTTCACACTTTCGTCACTTTTATTATATATGTGGGTATTTGTGTATTTTGGTGTCAATACCTATGGACACAAACTGCTTTTCTTCATATAGAGCTATGTGTATTTCATTCTAACAACTAGCAGTTTGCACAATATTAATGAAATTTACAACCTTACTTTGTATCTAATGACCATGACAAATAAAAAGCACCTTTTAAGCAAGATCTCAGATCTCTAATAAGAAATTATGGCACATTTCAGATAATTATTCCACTGATCCCAAAAAGTCTATTATGTCAAAAATATATTCCGTAGATAATGATGCTTGCCATTGATTTTATAATTAAAATGGTTTTTATTAACGATTAACCGAAACACACAATCAACGGTAGGCACTGTAATAATAAATCTTCGAAAGAAATATATTAATAATAGAAAATTATCATTTTCAAATGATAGGAATATTTTCTATAATTATAAGTATGAAGAAAGCAAAATAATGTTTAGTCAGATCATTATTTGTGAATGGCTTCTAATCCTCTCAATACTGATGTGTCCTTATAAAGCCTCGGCATAAACCTCTGAAAAAGAAAACAAATATTTAATTGTGGATGCCACTTTAACACATGATCACAGTTAAGGTAATCATAAGTCATGGATGTACCTTTTGTTTGTCGTTACAGGGTACAAAAACGTGAGACAGAATTGTCTTGTATCATTATGTCTCAGATATTTGAAACCTCGATTTTTATAACAAGTCAGAGCTTTTACTCTATCCGGCAGATGAGGAACTTAGCGTACCAACTAGGGTGGGAATTACACATCGAGTTCCGTCATTGGTCATGATTTAGTATGTACATCTGTGTAAAATCTCGGCTTTTGATCGCTTTTAAATTTTGTATATTTCACAAAACTCCCACATTGTAACTCCGTCAGACAAACTTGGCCTTAGATGTTCATTCCATTGAGTATATATGACATACATATAAGTTCTCAGCTACGTTTTGGTTCTGAGCGTTCATGATGAAGGTTAAGCTAAAATGCACATCGGATATAGTTAAAACTAAAGGTTTTGCTTTTCTTGCTCATAAGTTAGTGTTTAATTTATTATTATTAAAGAACGAACATCCATATAGTTGAAGTTTGATAGACTTGGTTAACTTCATTATTTGAAAGAAAAAAAAAACAGGTGGTGAATTTAGTTTCATAGGAGTCAAATATTTGCAAGAGAAGATAAGATAAGAAATTCATTAGTGTAAATCCAAACAATGGAATTGTTACTAAATAACAAAAAATAAACAATACAAACATGAAACATTGACAAACAACATGCCTCCTCCCAAATTAGCATTTAAATCACTGTATTTAGAAATAGATAAAGAATAAAATTCTGCCTACCTCTTTTGTATTTAATAAAATACTAAGTTAACGAAAAGAAAAAAAAAGAGAACTTTTATTTATATACACATAAAACTATACATGTAAAATTCATAATTCATGCACTTTTATGTATGTTTCTATCATTATAACAATAACAATAATCTTCAATATGTTGCATTCTTAAAAACAAAATATTATGAAATCTGTTTTCATTTACTCCTTGAATTAATTGATTGATTGATGTTTGCTTAGCGTCCAGTGGCAAATATTTCATTGATGTTCAGGACGATTTTCATTGAATCATTAAAACAAGAGCATGACACAAATGGTAATTACAACAATAGCTTGTTGAAAATATACCATAAGTATTTTGATAAACACGAGAAAAGTTTTCATATTTAGAAAAAAGTTAAAATTACCATCTTGTTCTGGTAGGTCTTCATAGTCTTCTCCATCCTCAGCAAAGCTGAAATTTATAACAAAAACATAATGGTTATCTACCTTAGACCAACAAGTGTTATTTATTTCAATCTTTCAAACATTTCCTTTTTTCATCGAAGTTTCTTTAAGTATGATAATAAATGTTTGAAGAGATAATACTTACTCTGTCTGTGGCTTCTGGGAAGTTAGCATCACCTGGAACAGTTCAAGAGATAAGACTATAATACTTACTCTGTCTGTGGCTTCTGGGAAGTTAACATCACCTGGAACAGTTCAAGAGATAAGACTATAATACTTACTCTGTCTGTGGCTTCTGGGAAGTTAGCATTACCTGGAACAGTTCAAGAGATAAGACTATAATACTTACTCTGTCTGTGGCTTCTGGGAAGTTAGCATCACCTGGAACAGTTCAAGAGATAAGACTATAATACTTACTCTGTCTGTGGCTTCTGGGAAGTTAACATCACCTGGAACAGTTCAAGAGATAAGACTATAATACTTACTCTGTCTGTGGCTTCTGGGAAGTTAGCATTACCTGGAACAGTTCAAGAGATAAGACTATAATACTTACTCTGTCTGTGGCTTCTGGGAAGTTAGCATCACCTGGAACAGTTCAAGAGCTAAGAATATAATACTTACTCTGTCTGTGGCTTCTGGGAAGTTAACATCACCTGGAACAGTTCAAGAGATAAGACTATAATACTTACTCTGTCTGTGGCTTCTGGGAAGTTAGCATCACCTGGAACAGTTCAAGAGGTAAGACTATAATACTTACTCTGTTTGTGGCTTCTGGGAAGTTAGCATCACCTGGAACAGTTCAAGAGATAAGATTGAGTATGTATGATTTCTCAAACTTATATATAACAAATTAGTAAGATGTTATGGTGAACATTTCAATATGTCTATTTTACTGATGAAATGATGAATTAATAATTGTGCTCTTTAAGATTTTACTGGAATGTGCAAATGCATTTATTTTCTTATATTCTGATAAAACATTTAGTGTCAAAAGAAATCTGAATGACTTGAAAATAGGAAAGTGAAATTGCTAATAAACATCCATGTTAATGACCACATCTTATAATGTTTGTTTTTTTTCAGTCATTTAATATCAAACATCGATACTTTATTAACTAAAATATAAAAAGACGATGTTATGGCATTACCAAAATTGTTTCACATTTGATCTAAATAATTAAAAAGGAACATTGATTACAAATCAATGACAAAGAAACTTTCGGGAATTATTTCCAAAACATGTGATACAAGTGGAAAATATTAATGAATTTAAAATATTATAATCAAACTAATATAGGTAGTTTTTGAGTAATACGATTTTCAAAATGTATAACCAATCCGGTCAGTGTCATCAGCCAAAATGTTGAGAAAATGGATGAGGGATACAAAGAAATGACTTTACCATAAATATGTACATTCCATGTCATTTTTTTCTTTTCAAAATTCTTAGATATGTATTTTTTCAATCATTTATAAGAAAGAAGTTGAAATAATATGCTTTTTTGTTCTAAAAAAAGAGAAAAATCCCAAATTTACAAAATTGACAGCATGGTCAATTTGACACGAAAAAACAACAAAATTTTATAAAACTTTCTGATATGAAAACCAACATATATATATTTTTTTTAAATTAAATTTATTCAGGTTGGTCCACTTCATCTTTAGTGAAAGTATGAAAAAAGTATAATTTTGAAACTGTGATTTTTTTCATGATAATTGCCCAAAAATGGGTAAAAAATTATGAAAATGGGAACATCATTAAAAATGGGATACCTTATAATGGCCGTAGGAAGAAAAGAAGTGCACCACCATATGAAATTTTCTTCATCAATTACTTTCTTACAGTCATATAAACCCAAAAATCAGGTTAGGACAAAAAGTTTACTTGTAGGCTCCCCAGAGGTGTACATCCTTATAACAAAAGATATATAAGGGGCAACATACGGTCTTTACACCGGTCTATTGTTAAAGACTGTATATTGCCCTTTTGATGTATTTTGCTTTTTTCAATTCAGGTAAAACAGAAAACAAAACCTCCATACAAGTAAAACATTTAATAAAAACACTGTACACAGATACTTGCTCTTACTGGAAGCAAGTTAAAGGTTCTTTCAAAACGGCAAAAAAAAAGGAAAGGGAAAATTTAAAAAGAGTCTAAGAGAGGAAACGTCATAGCCAAAATAGAGAGAAAAAAAGAAGTCCACATAAATTAAGAATTGAGCGTTACGCCATACCCCCGAAGAAGAAAATAGAATTAAAACAGTTGTGAACTCAAGTGCTTCGAAAAGGTGAGCATTTTCTGACAATACATTACACCTGGTCTGCTGACATGATAGTCCAGCCGTATTAGCAGTTTTGATTTAAATATCATACAAAAACGCCATGTACATTGCAGAAAAAATAGGATCATGTGCAATGCTATTAGTAAATGTGTGTACCGAAAATAAAAGAAACACTGTAATCTTTTTTAAAACTGAAAATAAGCAAATCGTTGAAATATTATACAATTATAGCCTTAGTAGGAGGTCGATACAAGGATATATTGACCTGAAAGAAGTATATTGACTGAGGACGAAGTCCGAGGTCGATACACTTCTTTGGGTCGATATATCCTGTATTGACCTCATAAATAGGCTATAATTGTTATATTATTAATTTCCGACCATATTTGTATCAAAATCGTCATTTGATTTTGTTGTAATTTTATAGATATGATATTGTCTCCTAGACAATAACAACAGATTAGTTGTTATTTCATTTACTTTTTTTATGTTTTTTTTTACATGTTATGTATTTGAAGATTTTTTTTCTTCAAATAATCGATCATAGATATTTGTTTATAAAACTTTTAACAATATCATGAATCTCATTACATGACGTCACAAAGTATATCGGTTTTTAGATATTCTAAAAATAACCGTGCAATATGCTTTTTGCTGTGCAATATGCTTTTAGCTATCCGCCGTTTTCTCTCTACCTTCGAAAATATAGTTTAACATGTGACTATCCCTGAACGAATCAAATTAGTTAAAATATACGAATTAATAATATTCAAATATATAAGACGTGATGATTAGACAACACTAGTGTACATGTAATTATATATATAACCTTTAGCAAAAGTCTATAAAGTCAAAATTATATATACTAGAAGAATACTTCTTATAATTTTTTGCCTTATAAATAGTTTCACCATTAACAGCTTGGTTTAACATACAACTTTTGTTTTTATTAAAATCAAGTTCCTGCAATTGGAATAACACCTCTAAATAAATACATGTATATACTTATATTTGGGATAGAACAAAAATAACATATTTTTTTTTTATGATATATGATTCCTGTTGTAAAAGTGTTTTAGTAGTGAAAATATTATGTCACTAAAATGAAATCGATAACGTCACTGCAAACATTCGAATGTACAACCAAATGAGAAATAACCACTCCATAAGGACCAAACGGAAAGGAAAATTAACAATAGGAAAAGTCGTGCAGCGTGTCGGTAATTTTAGTTTAACCTGAGAATTAAAATATCTTAGTGTTTAAAATTAATAGCAACCACTTATAACTTATGGATATAACAAGAGTAAATTCTGATAAATGAATAAATTGACATATTTAAAAAAAAAATGTGATTACACAGTGAGACTATGTCGTATATAAATGTCATAGTTTTGTGGGAATTTCTAAACACTATCTGTAGATATTAGACAACGTATTCTTTGTATCTTCCCATAACCATTGTGCTGTATGACTCGATGTGTGTATGGTTTTTATATTCACGAAAACTCTTGGTTGAATAAGTTTGATTGATGGAATGATTATTATTCGCGTAACGTCCAGTGGTAAATATACCGTGCATATTTAAAACGCGAAAACAAAACCCCAAATAAATCCTACAAGATAAGCCCTGAAAAGAAGACCGATAACGTCAACTGACACTGGAATAAGAGGGCATATTAGATAACGTCAACTGGCACTGGAATAAGAGGGCCTATTGGATAACGTCAACTGGCACTGGAATAAGAGATTGGATAAGGACAAGAAGTATGCATTTCAGCAGACCACTCACGGACCCCTCAAAGATTTGTTACTTTGATTTCTATATAAGCAGAGAGCGCGATACTCTCCCTACACCTCATTCCGACCGACGTTACTACGTATTTATAGCATCTGCTTTACTTTCGGATGGGAGAATTCCAGGTGACCATATTTTTATTCTCCAGTCACCTCTTGTGAACATGATAAGCCAGAAGTAAATTCCAAACCAAGATGTTATTTATTCAAGAAGCCATTATTGTACATTTAGTTACATTTCCAAAAACCAGAGAAAATCGTTGCAGTACGATTATGATGTTTCTGAAATCGTGTGAAGTGTTAGCAAATGAGTTGGTGACTGATGGATTGTTCGACATTTTATTTGAGCATCTGCTACATAGCTTTCGTGAATTTTTTATAAAAAAATGTTGAAACTGATACAAAAGTTTCTTTCGAAATCTGGTTATACACTCATATGTAACTGATTGGTATTATGTACAGCATGTTATAATTACTTACACTCAACAATTATTTCATCAATTCTATAAAAAGATTATATATTATTTATTTCTCAACTTGAGAGCAATTAAATATATACTTCATAATATTGACTTGTTTATCTTTAGATGACAAAGACACTGAATTGTTTTCTATAATGAACGAACAATCAATTCAAGTAGAAAAAAATCCAGTTGCAAAATCATAAAAATCTTTTGTTTTTTCTGACCATTAAATGTTGCTGCGGAAGATTATTTGAATTTAAAAAAATTATATATATCGGGATTGCCCGAGATTCCGACACACATCAGTAAAATACTCTCAGCGGTTCGACACTACACAGTCATCCCAAAATTCGGACATTGGTTTATACCTTTGGTTAAAAGTGTTCATTATGTAATTAAATCTTTTGTCCTATCTTACACGGGTGTTGTTGGTTTTTGCACACAGAATAATTTTCGTTCAAGGTTTTATGGCGTGCTATTTACTAAGTCAAATTGAAACGATAATCGTCTACCATTTATCATAAAACTTTATATAGTTTTGAGTTTTATCAAGAGGCAAGAAAGAACACTAAAGTTAGACTTAAAGACATTATAACAATGTGCTAAACACGAGGTTGATGTTAACTGTATATACAATACCAAATAGTAATTGTTGATGTATCCATTCTTTATCCGATGTCCGAAGTAGAGTTACAGACTAATGCGGTGTTGACAAATTGAAGCAATAAAAAAAAAATTAATAAAAAGAAAAATGAAAATAGCATGTATGAATAAAGCAAAAGCAAAGCTTACACTACGTATGAGATTGTTGTCTACCTCGACATTATTCGAGTCCACATAACCAATTGTATCTACAAAGACAGATTATTTTATTAATTTGAAACCAAATATGTTTCATATGTCTTTTGCACATTCTATAGTATACGTTTCAAATTTTTACCTTATCTGTTGCAATATAGCAACTGTAACTGCATTTACATCAAGATGTCGTTAAATGAAATTGGATACCCGCTTTTCAATAACATATGATCAAATCGCTGAAAGACCCCCTCTTAAATTATTGAAAACTATCATTCTGCATTGAAAAACAATATCTTGGTGTAAATAAGATACACCCATTTGGGCTAACGCCCTCAAGCCCACCGTGTATCTAATACATATTTTGTAAAATTTTACTAGTGATGTTTTACATAAATCTGATAAAGGGCTTCACCTGGCCCGCATGATACGACCGTAGCATGTCAACAAGGTAGAGTTGAACAGGACTATATCAAAGTTGAACGTAGACAAAAGTATTGGGCTTTATTGAGCCAGTTACCTTTCGGAGACAGTTATTGTAAATACAACAATTATCTCTTACACTACTGAATACGTACACCAAATCTAATGAAAAAATGGACTTTTTTCAGTGGTTGTCGTTTGTTGGTGTGGTTCATAAGTGTTTCTCGTTTCTCGTTTTTTTATGTAGATTAGACCATTGTTTTTCCTGTTTGAATTGTTTTACACTAGTCATTTTTGGGCCCTTTATAGCTTGCTGTTCGGTGTGAGCCAAGGCTCCGTGTTGAAGGCCGTACTTTGATCTATAATTGTTTACTTTTTATACATTGTTACTTGGACGGAGAGTTGTCTCATTGGTACTCATACCACATCTTCTTATTTATATTTTTCGGAGTAATAAGATGAATGGAAAAAAAAACGCATCCAAATCAGACTTACAATGAACAAAATACAAGTGTTAGCGCAAATCCCCTTTTAAACCTTAAATCGCAAGAACCATAGTATGATCTAGATCATACTTGATTAAAATACATCGCTATGAAATACTAGCTGCGGAACCGTAACTCTAATTGTCCTTATTATATTATTAATGATTTGTGCAGATGGTCCGTAAATTGTCAAAAAATATCATAAGGACCTATAAGCTACGGTTCCGCAGCTAGTGAAATACATGCATCGATTTTCACATGGAATTTAAAGGGGAAATTCAAATTAGATGTCATAACTAAAGTTACCTAATTTAAGTAATGGTCCGTTTTGAAACATATTATACAGTACACGGTAATAACAAAAGTTCATATCTCAAGAAAAAGTGTGGCATTTAAAACAAATGATTCAATTTAATTTATATGTGTACTTGATGAAAAAGTTGTCCAATGAAAGTTAGATACTACCTTCATTGTCCTCTAATTTGACTAGCCATCTTCCTTTTGGGGCTCTTTTATCCATACATATAATTATAACTCTTTGGTCTTTTGTAACTGTTAAGTCTTTCCCCTTTCCTTTGGCATCTTCCTTAATAGCTCCTTTAGTACTACATTCTTCCAGCTCGCTTAGCTCAATCTAAATCACGATAAATAACCAAGTTGAATGTAGATATATTGAAATGTTTTATTTCCATTAAATGGGCTCACAAAGAGCAAGCTCAGCATATTACAATATGACATTATTTAAACAACAACATATAACAATTATGTAGTATACATTCAAAGAAAAGAAAAAGAAGTTTGAAATGAATGAACTACACACACATATAAATAAATATATTTACAAGTGTAATACCTCCTTCTCAGGCACACCCCAACATGTAAAAGCGCTTTTAATAAATTGGCAATTTATTGGATAAAATTATGTAACTTAACTGCAAAAGCCACCAAGGGACGGTGCTGCACGTCAAGGTTGGAGATAGACGCACATGGTATACATGCATGTAAATAGACAATTTGATTAAAATATTATGAGCAGTTGCACAAACCTGGCATGTCATCCTCGTGTCTGATGCAGAGGGGTTAGTGGTATATATATTAAAGTGATCGTTGAACACATAGTGAAAAAGCCTATACCATTTTGCAGGTGATTTAGAGCTTGACTATGCAGTATTGCTGTCTATATTATACTGATGAAGACTGTATACATGTTAGCCTCTAGATGTTATTAGGTTATTTTGTTGTAAGGTTGCTGTACTATTGACATATATCCCATATCTCCGTTTCTTCATACACTATCTTTTTAATATACATAATACATAATATTTTTATATCAACACATCTAACATTTTGTTCAATTCTAACTAAAGTCCTTTCAGACAGATGATTGATCAATTGGTGTTTGCTTTACGCCGCCTTTCAGACAGATTAGCTAAAAGTTTTAATTATTGTTAAATTATAGCAAATTTTCCAATTGTCTCAAATAAGCTGCGACTCAACTTAATTGTACTTGTATAGTTTTTATTATTTACAAAAAACAATTAAACTTATATATAATTTCGATATAATAAATTGGTAAAAAAATACTAAAAATAAACTGTGGAAGTATAATTCCATTCGAAAATGTACAAGTCGTCCTTCAGAACTTTTTTGTTTGACAAAATACTTATTGGCAGAAGTTATAGGTATTCTTTTGTTGTTAAATATCAACACTATTACAAGTAAGTATTTAGCTTTTTTTTTTTTATATCAATTATGATATTTTTCATAGTCTGTACTTTTTCTTTACTTGATTTTTTGCACTATTCTATTATTGACACTGCACTGCTTCAGATACACAAATAACGACATTACTGTATGAAAGCTATTTATAAATACACTGGACGATATTGAGAGTGTAAAACTTCAAATCAACATACTCAGTACTTGCAGCATTCCTCGGTACGATATTATATATATCATTTTTTTATTTTTGTTTGCTATTTATTCTGTTATACCAATAATATCAAATAACGTGCTTTTTCGGGTATTGTACAAAAGTATTTACAAAGATTGGGTAGTGAATGTAATCACATAATCATATGATCGATCTTTTAAATACATGATTTAAAACGGCGAACTCCTTTCTGAAAAGTAAAGTGTACTAAAACAATTGAAATCCATGACTATGAGATGTATCTACTCACTTTTTTCCTTTTTGTATTTACCTTGAATTTACTTTTTAAATCTTTTGCTCTTTTCTCTTGTTTTTTCCTTTCCTCTTCTTGTTTTTTCTACGAAACATCATAATTATTAAAAGCAATTACTTGTCAATGTCTGTAATATTTACATTTTCACTTAACCTTTTTACCTTGCAATTTGTTAAGCTATTTCTATGATAATGATTAAACATTGCATCGTTAAATGAATTTATAATTATGAAAAAGTATACTATTTGTGTTAATAGCTATTTCCATTTTAAGATAAAAAAGGGGGAGATATTTCTAAATTTTATGTAACCAATATCTAATGGATACTGAGAAACAACCGCCCTTTTAAAAAAACCAAGTACATATGTATATACATATTAAGCGGGATTTGCACATTTTGCTATGATTCGTAGGAATAGAAATGATGTGGTTGAAATGCAATCAACAATACCTTTTCTTCTTTTTCTTTTTTCTTTCTTTCCTTTTCTGAAAGTTGTTCTGTTTTATTATTATCATTCGAAACTGTATTGTTATTAGTTTTCTCCTGCAATTTTGCCACCTCACTGCAAAACAAAATGATTTAAGAACCTTTAAGCATTTCATATTATTGTTTTAGAAGTTTGAATTTCATATACAGCTCAACCAACATTTCTAGCTACATTAGAACAAACTAAAACATTATTTAAAACGAATTTCTAGGCAAATTAACAGAGGAACAACGTACGTAATAACGTCGTCAAGTGGCTCGTACAGTTCACCATCAGATTCTGGATCAGCTTCTATAACATTGGACTGAAAATTAAAAAGTAGAATCATATCAGTTTTATGCTTAAATCAAACTAAATAACGTTTAAGCAGTTTCGTCAAATAAACGTGTAATTAAATTTTTATATTAATTCTTAACAAACGTGTATTGTTTTGCACCCCAAGAGATAAACTAACGGTGTTTAATGACAAGACATGAGTCCTTATCATATACCAAGGTCACCCAAGTTATATCTGAACTTATAGACCTGCTGCATTACAATCTTATATCTTGATAAACACAATAACAAACACTAACATATAAACCAATTCTATTAACTAACAAATTTCTGACTTGAGAAATCAACATCCTGGTACATCTTTGATGACTTTCTACATTTATTTTACATTCATAGCTTATTTTCGTAAGTTTTATTACAAAAATAGAAAATTAAAAAAAATACAGCAGATATAGTCACATCCAAAGGTATCGAAATACTGTTATATTAAACGGAACTTTTTTCTTTAATCCAAATATATGGTACCAGAAGTCCATTACTAGACGAAGTGGTCTAGTAATGGACTTCTGATGGTACCTATATTGCCGTATAAAGAGTGGAGACATCATACTTATCGATGAAAACAAAACGACCGTCAAAAGAACGCAATTTGTTAATGTCTAAATTAACACTCCAGAAATACCATTTGTTGTCTGTTTAGAATTCTGTGCTTGAAGAGCTTATTGTTGAGAACTTTTTGGCCCATTAACATGAGTTTTGTAAAAAAATAATTAACAATGAATACATAGACGGTGTTAGTTAACTAATTAACAATGAATACATAGACGGTGTTAGTTAACTAATTAACAATGAATACATATAGACGGTGTTAGTAAACTTGTCAACAAACCAGAAATACTGCTGAACATTTACAGAACTTGATGGAAACTTACAAGCAGGAGGCCAATACATATATTGTGAATACTTTAATCTAAAGATTCAGGTTTTTGTTGAGAACGCTGAAACATTAGCCATATTAGAATGTTTTGTTGTACGCTTTTTAAAATGCTACAAAGAATATTATACATTCTGAAATGATGAACTATAACATGTAAATGGAGTGTACTCACCGTTGATACCGGCTGTATGGGTGGCTCGGGCAAAGGTTCCTCTACAAATACAAAAACAGTTGATTATACTGAAAAATATCATCTGAAAGCAATACCAAAAAAGGAGAATCTGATAATCGATCTAAGGCATTGCATTTGTGTGTGTGTGTTTTTTTTATTAGAAACTATACTTTTCTTTTTTCATCAGCAGCTTGTTCGGGTCAAATTTATAACCGTCAGGTCAAACGTCATGACGTCGGCGATAAGTCCGGGTGAATAAAGTTTAATACGCATATTCAGTAATCTGACATATCTAACTTTGACTTTACATCTTTTAAACATTTCCTTAATGTATATAAAAAGCGTTATATTGATTTGGAAATCTTAAACAGGACGATTTTAACATAGAAAAATAGTTTTCGATTCCTGGTACATCTATCATTTTATCTTTTACTCGAAACATTTTTATTGCTTAAAATGTACGATACGTTTTTAAATATCAGTTTGTATACAAAAGGTATTTAGAAAGACATCTACACTTTTTTTTTTACAATTAAGAGTATTTTTCAACTTTTAAATGGACCAACTTATAACAAAAACAGCAACATAGAACTCAGTTTCTATTTTTTTTTTTATCATAACACTTATTTGGATCATCTTGAATTTATACATTTTCTATTCAACAAATCATATCGAGTTTCTTGATGTAAAAAGACACAACAGCTTAAGTGCTACTCAGTAAAATTACTACACAGTCTAAATTACAACTATAGAAGCTCACCACCTCTTTATCGACATATTACGGCTTCATTTTTACAATCTAAGGGTAAAGAAATGTAGCTAGCTGTACTTCTCCTGTCCTTAACTTAAACATTTCCTGAAGGGGTGAGTAGAGAGGGGGAGTCCGTTTAAAACCGTGGGATATATATATATATATAAGTTTAAATTGAAAACAACGTTCAAACCTATGATTGCGTTGGATAAAAACCGCAATTTTTATACGTGTGCATGCAAAACAAATTTCTTGGTAGAGGGGTCTAAATACAACACAAACAACATTTTCCAAAAGACCAAAAAAGTGAAAAAGTATATTTTACGGATGTTTTTAAACCCTGCTGACTTCCATTGGCGATTGCCAAATAAACGGATCACAAGATGTAACAAAATGGATCTAAATATATATTAAATGACTGAATAATAGCCAACGATAGATCTAACGTGGCGATGGATCATATAATTATGATACAGTACACTACAAAATATAATATATAACAAGTCTAAAAGGGTATTACATCACCAAAAAATAATAATAAAATGAACAAATGTTAAATATTTCGGATAACAGATATCCTCCATCAGTATGATCACGATGTAAAATGAATCATATCAATCTAGTCTGATTATAAAACTATAACAATCTTGAAATTTATACAATAAAACAGTCAAAACTGAACATCATATACACGTCCGATGGAGAATGTCTGTCTTAAAGTTGTCACATGTTTAGACGTGTATAATAAAATTAGAATTTGATGTGGCGGCATGGTAATTTACATTATCATCCTTTGCGACCGACAAAGTAGCTGATCTGAAAGGTACATCATCTACTTGCCACTATACATCATGTACTGTGTTACAACCCTAGATAATGCCGACGAGGAAAGGCATTACATCGACCACTGAAAGCTATACCTTTTATGTAGCCTAGGTGGTCGAGTGGTCTAGGCGCGCTGGACACGGTGCAGGCGGTGTTGCCACCATGTCACAGAAGCAAGGGTTCGAATCCCGCTGAGGGAAGAACAAAAAGTTAACGCAAATTTGAAGATTTGACATTGTTGGGCTAAATTTGAGACAAGTTATATATATATATACATAGCATCGTCTGATCGGTCCAATTGTTAGGAGAGTACACGTTGCCGAACTACTAAATCAATTTATTGTACATTTGTTCTTGTCCTAAATATTCATAAACATTGGTCTCTGAACATTAAGCAAATAATAAACTTTCTTTAATTTTACTTTTTTTTTACTTTTTATTTAAAAATTAAGACATTTTAGGCTTTTACTGAAGATCAATTTTGAGCTGATGGAGAGAACATTATATTTGAAATTGAAATGAATGTAAACAAAACGTCAGAAATTTAACATGGAAACGGACATTATCAAAGTGCTAGATTATATGTGTTCGTTTGGTGGACATGTTTGTCAACAGAATATTGTCGGCATTTCTATGAGAACTTACTTTACTCCTCTTTTTGATGATTTGTGAAGCAAAATATAAAAAAAGAACAAAGCATTATTCTTTAACTCCATGTTTCGCTATATAGACATTGATCCCTCACTGAATAATTCAAAGTTTGGTGAGTTTGTTGTGTTTTGTAGACTCATGGTTGTTTGTGTATTCGTTTTTTTTTGCCATGGATTTGTAGGTCTCTCTTCTACTTATGAGGCTGGTATCTTCCTTGGTCGTATCTTTTGAACATTGAAATAATGGATAATACAGATACAACTTATAAGTCTAATTCATATATTGACTTAAATCTAGAAATTGACAATTATGACATGTTGAGAAAACTTGACGACAATAGATATGATTTTAATTTTCCATTTCTATTCAGCAACATTCCATAAGCGCCTTCTTATAGAGAAATATATATATCCCAGTTGAAAACATATTCCACAGCAAGTATTTCCTCGATATATTGTTGCTTCTAACAAGGCAGCTATTGAACAAGGGTTCCCATTAATAAAGCTGAAGTCACCCCATCGAAGAGAGTAGGGACAATGAGGCGAATACCGACACTTTTTCCATTACTGAGTGCAAAAATCAAAGTTATCATTACATGATCTTAAATTTGCCATAGCAATAATAAATTTTATATATGATGAGTTACCATATCAACAAACCATGGCAAAACAGTTTGTTTTGTTAATTTTGTTAATTTTTCTTGTTTTCATCTTGTTTTCATATTCATGCATATTGCAATAAACAACAGCCTAATATCTAAGGGGTACTGTTAGTAATTAAGTTGTATGGAACGTAGAGAATATAACAAATGAGTCATAAATGAATGGGTACTATACACTCACTACAGAATATACATGTAAGAAATAACATGCAGAAGAAACCGTAATATTGTTGTTATAAGACTCAAAGAACAAGTTCTAGAGGAAAAGTATCCGTGCGTTAGAAATAAAAAGCAACGAAACTGTTGTTACTTATTTCTTTTTTGAAAATCATGTCACCAATGAAGCATATTAGAGTGGCATCAGATAGCACTCTTTAAACTACAGTAAAAGTAAGAATTTAAAGTAAAAATGGTTTAGGCCGAGATGATTATTTCTGTTTTATTACCAGAATGTCGGCTAGAATGCATGCTGTTATAAATGCGAGTTCTGATAGGTTCAACAAGAGAGCTGCAAATCATGCAGCAATTGAATTAATACTATACCTTGAATTGGAATACATGGAAGTTCTACATAAAATACCCATTTTATTATTAAATGTGCATTAAACTATATTGATATTTGATATTTAAAATTTTGAACTGATATATCATGTTAAGGTGGTACCTAACACTACAGGGAGATAACTCTGTAAAAATCAGCTAAACGTTTTAATCACGTTGTATTGTTGTAGGAAATATTAAGCTTCTCAATGATCAAAATTAGTGTTTGTCAAACTGCTATATAACCAAAGAAATTTTTCTGATAAAGTGGTTGGTTCAAATTTTTTGAAATTTTTATATTTTTGTCAAAGGGTCAAAGTAAACATTTTGTCAAAATTTTAGGAAAATTAAACGAGCCAAATTAATATTAGTCAAGGTATTGGGTTCCACCGTAACGAGGGGTATTCGGTTTATAAGTGTGAACACAATTCATCTGACATTAGAAAATTCATGGAAAATACACTGGTTATTAAATCCAGGATACTTGAATGAGTTGTAATTGTTGTATAAAAATAATTGCAAACGTATCTGACCATTTCTACAAGTTCTACATAATTAAACGAAACAAAATTCTGTGATTTAGCATGATGCTAATTGTTGAGATTAATTTACCAACCAGGAAGGTTTCCACGCCTTGGTGGTCTACCCGGAATAACGGGTGGCGGTGCTTCGTCACTTTGAGCACTAATTCCATCATCATAAACTTCATCACATTCTTCGTCTTCTGTCATAGGGGGTCTGTAATACATAACAACTTAAATTACTGATTATAGAACATTAAATTTTAGCGTAATTGAAACTGCTTTATTTTTTAGGAAAAAAAAGTGTCTTGACCTAAGGTTAAGCCAGACATTTACACACATTCCCCTTACCCTAATAATTTAACCAATAATAATGGCATGGCACATTGAAAATATGTTTTACCATTATTTTTTTTTACATAGAATTTGATGTTAAGCGAATATCTATCAATATTGCAAAATATCTCATGCGATTGGCTTTATATTTATTTAGGAAAAAAAATAAATATTTCCAATGGTCATTTTTTTGTGACATGTGTTTGCATCAATGCTGATTTTGAAACCATCAACAGTTTACGAAAATGTGTGAGTAATGTATAAAGATAAAGATTGGAGCACTTACATCATGGATACAGGTCTATTCGTTGATTGACGTGTAATCTCAGGAGGGGGAGGAGGGAAGTCTGCACCGGTACCATCATCCGGTAATTCTTCATAAAGTTCTTCATCCATTTCGACAAAACCTCCGGACGGAGGTCGCTCGGATTCTGGAATGTATAATGTTATGATGTTATGATGTTATAATGCAAAGTTAAAGAAAAAGAAAGTTTTATCAGGTCGATAGTTTCAAAAGTTATTTCCACTAATGAAATCACAGAATCAAAATTTATATTTGTCTCTATTCCCATTTCTTATGCTTTAGTGCAAACTTCATGGACCCACGAAACTACCGACCAGTAACTCTTTTGTCGTCCATGATAAACCTGTGAATACTATATTGAAAAAGATATTTTGTAATTATCTTGATGTAATTTTAATCACCAATGAAAATCATGCAGGTTTTACAAAAGAGTTCTCCACCGATCACATTTTTACTTTATATTCTTTTTAGATTTAGAAAAGAAGAAAATATATTGCGTTTTCACTAGTTTGATCGTCTTAGATATGCATGAAATATTTGCTGAACGTTAAGCATTCACAAATCAATCAATCAATCATTAATTTGATTCTGTACATAATAAGTTGCGTTTATATGAATAAGACAAAAGGAAAGTTCTTCGGAGTTATTCAGAAGATGTATGATAATGCGAATTCACAATTATAGTTGGAGTTGCACAAAGATAAAAAACTTTCAGTATTTGTAAAAAAGGATTTACCAACATTTTGTTCTGCTAAGATTAAAAATAGGGGAGAATCGAAATTCTTAAATTATTCTAAAAACCAAACAGAAAAAGGAAAAAAGAATTTAAATAAATATATAAGAATTTTATGAAGAAATGGCTCACAAAAGAAAATGGAACAGACAAACATGCTATACAAAAATGAGGAAGCTTGTATGGTTTTCTGTAGGCAGCTCGGAAAATCAATTGTCTATATTATGTAAATCAAATTTCTTTGATAACGTAATGACAATTTTTTTTTATGGTTTAAACTTTCGGGGAATTCCAAATTTTTACATTTAAGAATAGGTACATTTAATTTTTGTAAAATGTTTATTACTCAAACAGTCAACTACAAATACATTTGTCTATAAATTTTCTATAAATGTTGAAATGCACATGATCAATTTCTTGAGGAGGATCATAAATGCAAATAAAACAAGAATTTATAACTATTCTTCACTTGTTTCATGGATTGCTTTTAATTAAAAACTAGATGTGTCGTAACGACACGAATTGCTCCGCTCGCAAAAAAGCTTGAAGCCATTTTTAGGAGTGGAAATTTGAGAATGAAAGTCTGTATAACTGTTTAGTATTTTCTCGAAATTTTCAAAGTCCAAAGCCCGTAATTTCGGCACAAATCAGTGGAGCGGAACCAGACATAAACTCAATCTGTAACTCTTATTAGTAGACTCACATACAAAAAAATCAGCTCAATATGTGAAGGTGTTTAGAAAAAAGTCCGTATAACTGCTATATTCGTGAAATATTTAAAGTCCAAAGCCCGTAATTTCGGCAAAAATCAGCGGAGCGGAACCAAACGTAAACTTGTTTTGTAACTCATCATAGTAGACCCACATACTAAAAATTAGCCTAATATGTGAAGGAGTTTAGAAAAAAAATGTCCGTACAAGTTTTCTTGCGGAATGACGGATAAGGGTAAAACTATACAAATACGGTTTTGAAATAAACGTCTACTACAACCAATGTTGACCAATGTGTATATGTAATTTAATATACAGCACAAACAACATTTTCCAAAAGACCAAAAAGTGAAAAAGTATATTTTAACAAAACGCATTTGACTAACAGGTCGAACAACTGATGTTCTTAAACCCTGCTGACTGCCATGGCGATTGCCAAATAAACGTACCACAAGATGTAACAAAATGGATCGTATTTTAATACCAAACAGAAAACAATAAACTTACGGAAAAGATGTTTACCGCAAACATGAGGTGCAAAAATTTGTAAACCATATCCGGATTTCGACAATTAATGTCTTTTCAGTGATATTAGGAATTGAAACGGTATTTGGAAGGCCATATAATTTATCTCAATTTAGGATAGACTCTTGAATTTTGAAGAGTCGAAATAGGATGAACGGATCATATAAACCCGAAGGAAAATATAATACAAGCCGAAACGCAAAAAATATAAACAAGTCTAAATTGAAAACAAAGTTCAAACCTATGATTGCGTTGGATAAAAACCGCAATTTTTATACGTGTGCATGCAAAACAAATTTCTTGGTAGAGGGGTCTAAATACAGCACAAACAACATTTTCCAAAAGACCAAAAAGTGAAAAAGTATATTTTATCAAAACGCATTTGACTAACAGGTCGAACAACTGATGTTCTTAAACCCTGCTGACTGCCATGGCGATTGCCAAATAAACGTTTCACAAGATGTAACAACATGGATCTTAATTATTAATTTATTACCAAACAGAAAACAATAAACTAGCGGAAAAGATGGTATACCGCAAACATGAGGTGCAAAAATTTGTACACCATATCCGGATTTCGACAATTAATGTCTCTTCAGTGAAGTTAGGAATCGAAACGGTATTTGGAAGGCCATATAATTTATCTCAATTTAGGATAGACTTTTGAATTTTGAAGAGTCGAAATAGGATGAACGGATCATATAAACCCGAAGGAAAATATAATACAAGTCCAAACGAAAAAATATAAACAAGTCTAAATTGAAAACAACGTTCAAACCTATGATTACGTTGGATAAAAACCGCAATTTTTATACGTGTGCATGCAAAACAAATTTCCTGGTATAAAAATAGCGCTTTTTATCCAACCCAATCATAGGTTTGAACTTAGTTTTCAATTTAGACTTGTTTGTAATTTGATATATACAGGTTCCAGATACATGTGTTTAAAATGTTGAATTTGCGACTCAAAGACCAACTAAAGCAGGATATTTTCTCATATATAATAGTTTTTATCGGTGTTCCCACTTGTCTGTGTGTATCACTCTGCATATTCATATTGTAAAAAATCAGCTGCTCGACACAATATCTTTTATAGATTTTACAATATCAATATGCAGACAACCTGTAATTCAGTGCATGCCGTTTGTTGCCGTCTATTACATCGTTTTTTGTTTATTGTTTTGTACATACATCAAGCCGTATTTATTTTTTTCGTTTCAATTGTTTTAAATTTGTCATTCGGGGCATTGGCTTGTTATGCGGTATGGGTTTTGCTTATTGTTGAAGTCCGTACGATGACCAATATATTAGTTGCTAACTTCTACGTCATTTGGTCTCTGGTGGAGAGTTGTCTCAATGGCAATCATACCACATCTTTTTCCCAAAAATGCGGCAAATTTGTTCCTTCGGTATTATAGCAGATATATCAGTGTAGATTTAAGTGTGAAAGTCATAGCTTGACGATTGAGACAGGAAAGTTGAACGGATCTGCAAGAAATCATACCACATCGGGGATGAAAACCACTTCTAAACTTGACTTCTTCTTTTGTAAGATGTTCACACATGCATGCAATCGAAGAACTGTTCTACATATATTTTCTTCCTTCTGATTTTCTAGTTAATGAGAATAAAATATTCGTTCATTTATCCATTTATCCATTCATTTGAATAACTAAGGACATATTGCTTACAACAGAAAAACAAGAAGAAATAGAAAACTTACCCTCCTCTGAAGACAGAAATTTCTTCTTAAAGTTCTTTTTGTATTCTAAAACAATAGTATCCAAATTTATATCCAGTATCTTCAATGGCTTAGGAGGAGGTCTATTGGGACTATCTGAACTTGAAATTTCAACTAGAAAAAACTTTTTGTTATCTAAATTTCTTGTAAAGGACTTTCTTTTGATAGATTTCCCTCGTTTTATGTTTCTCAACTGAGGTTCACTGTCTGTTTGTTCATTCTCACTTTTTTGTCCCATACTTTCTTTCCGTTTTTGTATTGCACGCATTAATTCAGATTGAGGATCCCCTCCGGCAGAAGGAGGTGGTCCGGCAAAAGAAAATGGTTTTGGTTTGCTTGGAGAAATAATCTTGTCGTGTTCTGTAGAACTCGTGGTACTAGGTTTCCGTGGAGTTGGCGGAGGCAGTTTACTCTCGGGTTTTATTGGTGTGGTTGGAGGTTTACTATCAGACTTAACAGGAGAAGGCAATTTTGGTTGAAACATTCCAGAGATCACAGCCTTCTTCTCTGCAATGTCTACCTTTTCCGGCATTAATGGTTTCACAGGCTCAGCTTTACCATCAGTATTTTCACTATCACCCTGTTGAAACTTTTTTAAACGACTAGCTAGTCCTTGTGATGGTATATTTTTGTTTTCTAGCGGTTTTATACCCACATCCGTTTGTTTTTGCCATGGCGGCTTCGGACTAGGTTTATCGTCAATTCCAGGTTTGTTTTTAATACTGTTGAATCTTGACACAAATTCTGAATTAAGTTGTACCCCAGAAGTACTATTTTTCACAGAAGAAACTACATCTCTATTTTTGTTTGCAATCTCACCAATGGTTTTCTTTGGTATATTATTATTGTTAGGTGGGAAATTGACATCTCCATTTGTAGCCACGTCTGACCGTTTTGGTGTTGGTGGTTTTGCTGCTGGTTTAGATGGTAATGAAGGTTTTGGTCCTTGCATGGCTGGTTCAAAGATGGACTTTATACGTCCTACAGCACGTCTGTTTGTTATACTCGTTCCATCGTCATATATGTCTTGATCATCATCCTAATCAAATAAACAAAATATCTAAGTTTTAAATACAAACACTGTAACCTTTGGTTGGCAATTAAAATAAATACTGTGTTTAACTTATTTTTTTTAGCATTTCCGGCTCCAAAGTTGTATTTAATTCAATGGTACAATTGAAATATAATTTCCTTTGAAATTGAACAGTTTCACCAGGATTTAACTTAAAATGCAATTTAATAAAAATTGGCAAACAAAATAGAGCACAAATATGTGTTTATAGACCAAGAGTAAAACAATTCTGTTTCAATGATGTGCAAATCTACATCATGATTCTATTCAAAGTTTATAGAAGTACAGTCGGTTGGCGTTTTTTTTTTTTTCGTTTGAACATTTCATTCTTTCTGTATATTTTGCATATTAGATTTAAGGTGAGTCCTGTGGCAAAATAATTCATATTTAACTGTAAAACGTCGCATGAGAATTATATTGTTCTATTACCTATTTTTTTTTAAATATGCCTATATTTTGTACACAGTATAATACAACTATGTTCTATCTGTATGATTATAAAAGTAAGGAGGTGTGGTATGATTGCCCATGAGACAACTATCCACCTAAGTTCAAATGAAATGGATGTAAGCAATTATAAAAACCCATGATGTTTCATATATAGCTTTACTCCTTTGTTAGCATTATGTTCAGTATTAAACTGTTTTTACTCCTTTCTCATTTCCTGTACTCTGCTCTATAATGTTCTATCTCCATAGCCAATATGATATCTTGGCTTGGGTCACATCGAAAAAGTTGAAAGAGGTCAATTTTATAAAGTGTCAATTACTTGGTGAGTTAATTCATTATATCTTCCTTCTAAATGTCAGAGATTGTTTAATTTTCTAGGAAAACAGATGTTGTAACTTGACAAATAATATAAATAGATTATTAAACTGAAGAAGGATGCATTTCATTATCAAATAGCGATTCATCACTATAATATATGAAAAAAAAAAAAACAAACATACTCTTAATATATTTTTTTATATATGATATTGGAATAGCAAAATCAAGTATGACAGTCAACAACAACATTAGATTTAAAAATACATCTGTCTCGAAATATTTCATCTTCATTGGAATAATATGGGTAATATTATGAATTTTTCATGATTTTATGAAGAACCTTATTCATACACTAGTAATTTTTGGGGCCCTTTATAGCTTGCTGTACGGTGTGAGCCAAGGTTCCGTGTTGAAGACCGTACTTTGACCTATAATGGTTTACTTTTATAAATTGTGACTTGGATGGAGAGTTGTCTCATTGGCACTCATACTACATCTTCTTATATCTACTTTCTTTAAGTTGCAGTGACACGTCACAGTGGTGTTCCTATAACAGTCATAGATCTGCCAGATTTAGTAATCATTCCTATATTTTCTTGTTTTGAACTTGAAGAGCTAATAACTATTGTGAATCAGACCGTTTACCAAATAATGTCTGTGGAAAAACTTTCTCATTCCCTTTATTTGTGCAAGAAAGATCTAGAGTACATTTTATTGCATTCTAGTTGTTTCTGTTGTTTGATATATCATTGTCCTATTAGTTACGACGACAGCATAGCTAGTTTAGACCTATTCGTGTTTGTTATATCATTGCCCTATTACGACGACAGTATAGCTAGTTTAGACCTATTCGTGTTTGTTATATCATTGCCCTATTACGACGACAGCATAGCTAGTTTAAACCTATTCGTGTTTGTTATATCATTGCCCTATTACGACGACAGCATAGCTAGTTTAGACCTATTCGTGTTTGTTATACCATTGCCCTATTACGACGACAGCATAGCTAGTTTAGACCTATTCGTGTTTGTTATATCATTGCCCTATTACGACGACAGCATAGCTAGCTATAGTTTAAACCTATTCGTGTTTGTTATATCATTGCCCTATTACGACGACAGCATAGCTAGTTTAAACCTATTCGTGTTTGTTATATCATTGCCCTATTACGACGACAGCATAGCTAGTTTAGACCTATTCGTGTTTGTTATATCATTGCCCTATTACGACGACAGCATAGCTAGTTTAAACCTACTCGTGTTTGTTATATCATTGCCCTATTACGACGACAGCATAGCTAGTTTAAACCTATTCGTGTTTGTTATATCATTGCCCTATTACGACGACAGCATAGCTAGTTTAAACCTATTCGTGTTTTTTATATCATTGCCCGATTACGACGACAGCATAGACAAATGTTCTATAACGCTTACGTTTTACCTCACTTAGATTATTGTTGTTCAATATGGGGAAACTGTAATAACTTTCTATTAGATAGTTTACTAAAACTGCAAAAGAGAGCAGCAAGAATAATTTTAGACGAACATGATTACACCAAACCTTCAAGCGAATTATTTCACGAATGTAACATTGTGGCGATTACACAAAGAATTCATTATCATAAATCATTACTAATGTATAAGGCAAAACATGGCTTAGATCCAGAATATATGTCCAGTCTTATTTTATCAGCTTCTGCAAACCAAAAATACAATACGAGATTTTCGTCCTCAGATAATTTTATAATTCCAAAACCAAATACAGAGTTGTATAAGTCTAGTTTCTCGTACAATGGACCAAAAGTATGGAATGCTCTTCCTAATTCAATTAAAAAATCAAACACAGTATTAGAATTTAAACATAACTACAAATCTATGTACTTTTAACATTACCATGATATTTGTACTGTAATGCCATATATAATAATTGTTTATTGTATTTAAATTGTATTACATCTTTATTTATCATTATTATTGAATATGTATTGTTTATTTTTAATGTAATTATTATTGTATTAAGAGAGCCTTATTGAAAATTGGTGTAATCCAAATGAGTTACTCTCTCTAAATAAAGATCTTATAAATATTATTATTATTATTATAGTTTAAACCTATTCGTGTTTGTTATATCATTGCCCTATTACGACGACAGCATAGCTAGTTTAAACCTATTCGTGTTTGTTATATCATTGCCCTATTACGACGACAGCATAGCTAGTTTAGACCTATTCGTGTTTGTTATATCATTGCCCTATTACGACGACAGCATAGCTAGTTTAAACCTATTCGTGTTTGTAATATCATTGCCCTATTACGACGACAGCATAGCTAGTTTAGACCTATTCGTGTTTGTTATATCATTGCCATATTACGACAACAGCATAGCTAGTTTAAACCTATTCGTGTTTGTTATATCATTGCCCTATTACGACGACAGCATAGCTTGTTTAAACCTATTCGTGTTTGTTATATCATTGCCCTATTACGACGACAGCATAGCTAGTTTAGACCTATTCGTGTTTGTTATATCATTGCCCTATTACGACGACAGCATAGCTAGTTTAAACCTATTCGTGTTTGTAATATCATTGCCCTATTACGACGACAGCATAGCTAGTTTAGACCTATTCGTGTTTGTTATATCATTGCCCTATTACGACAACAGCATAGCTAGTTTAAACCTATTCGTGTTTGTTATATCATTGCCCTATTACGACGACAGCATAGCTTGTTTAAACCTATTCGTGTTTGTTATATCATTGCCCTATTACGACGACAGCATAGCTAGTTTAAACCTATTCGTGTTTGTTATATCACGACGACAGCATAGCTAGTTTAGACCTATTCGTGTTTGTTATATCATTGCCCTATTACGACGACAGCCTAGCTAGTTTAGACCTATTCGTGTTTGTTATATCATTGCCCTATTACGACGACAGCCTAGCTAGTTTAGACCTATTCGTGTTTGTTATATCATTGCCCTATTATGACGACAGCATAGCTAGTTTAGACCTATTCGTGTTTGTTATATCATTGCCGTATTACGACGACAGCATGGCTAGTTTAGACCTATTCGTGTTTGTTATATCATTGCCCTATTACGACGACAGCATGGCTAGTTTAGACCTATTCGTGTTTGTTATATCATTGCCCTATTACGACGACAGCATAGCTAGTTTAGACCTATTCGTGTTTGTTATATCATTGCCCTATTACGACGACAGCATAGCTAGTTTAAACCTATTCGTGTTTGTTATATCACGACGACAGCATAGCTAGTTTAGACCTATTCGTGTTTGTTATATCATTGCCCTATTACGACGACAGCATAGCTAGTTTAAACCTATTCGTGTTTGTTATATCATTGTCCTATTACGACGACAGCATAGCTAGTTTAGTCTTCTTCTTGTGCCCTTATGTTAGCCATTTAACGAAATCAACATGTTTGGATTTATCAAATACAGCAATTTCAGCAACTTGTTTTCTTTTACAACTGCCAAATCTAGAGTACTTAGTTGGTGTAGACTTCATTGTAATGTTCAACTGTCATAAGTTGACCAGTCTTTATAGTCATTTGATACATGCAGTGACTCCCCTAACTATACTTTATTTTATACATTACTTAAACTTCATAGACACATTGGATATATGTGGTATTCCTCTTTCAATAGAATAAATAGATGAAATATTAACACAATACTATACAACATCGTATTCTGTTCACTTAAGCGTACGACCTGATGTCAATAAAAATTAATTCCACGAGTTTGTTTGTTTTAATTACACAGATTTGACATATTATTTGTTTAATAAATACTAGTTCACAGTCAATTCTTTAAATGAATGTAGAACAAAAAAAAAAGGACTATTACATGCTATACAAGACACAGATGAGAAAAAACTAAACTTTTTTTTATAGAGGAACCATGCCCAACAAATACACGTCTTGCAATAATAAATAAAAATATACTAATGAAAGAATTAAAGAAAAGTACAAACAACTTACAAGGATCATATGTTAATAGTCATGTATCTTTGTGAGGGAAATGTATGGTTTTATTGACTTTTGAAAAAATTGATATTCACTGAGGCCAAAATAAAATCGTATATCAAACAATTTAGGATAATTATACATGTAAAAGCACGTGAAGTTTTCCAAAATCCAATTCATATAGAAAAACCTGCTACTATAATACCAAT